CATATGCTTAGAAGTCTGAGGAGTATTTAGGAACTGCCATAAATTATCCTCATGTATTCATGACACAATCAAAGCAGAGTCCTGATTGAGTGGTTTTCATGATTTGGTCTAATGATCTATGTTGATTCCCTTTACGAAAAGCACATGGTCCAATTACATATTTCTTCCATCCTGGGTTAAAGATGTCCTTCTAAAGGCCCATTCTACCAATTTATAGGGGATATAAAAAAAGGATTTTCAGTGAAATGTACTTTCATTGGTTTTGATGAAAACGGTTTGTGATGAAAGTAGAATCTCTAATAAGCATGTCATAAATGACTTGTCTTTCAAACTTAATATAAAACAGAATAAAATACATCTCCCAAAGACCTCCTTGCTGCCTCACAGATTTAAAGTCCCCTGCTCTCAATCAATCAGGCCCAAGAACTCAAAAATCTCTAAAGATGCAATCAAATATTTATCAGTGAAAGTTGGTAAGACTAAGAAATTATTTATGGCCCAAATTTTGAAATAGTCATACTTTGAAGGGGGAGGGAAAAATCACATGTTGGGAACTACACATTTCTCTTTAGGGCACAAGCCCCCAGATCCTCGCTGCCATCTAGAATTCAGAAACAAGAAGGAAATCACAGGTTTGAGGGAATGTGTTCACAATTGGGTCTTTAACCCATTTTTCAGAAACATTGAGAGAGATGATGGAAAAGCAGTCCCCTAATTCCAGTAATTTAGCCACTTACCAACTAATTAATTATTTGGAAGATAAATTATGCATCAGCCAAAACTCTGTCTGATCCCTAGAGCTGCCCTGCATGGCCTTTCTGTCAATATACAATTCTACATAGCACAGCCTCAACTGAGAACAACCCCCACCCCGAGAGTGGATTAGCTGCAGCACCCTTTGATGCCTTGACCCTGTAGTATATGAGTCTCCTTTCTTTAAAGGGATTCAGATTGTGATAAAATATGGCAAAAAAAGAAAAAGAAAATAAAGAAATAGATACTTAAGTCTCCACCCATCCTCTTGAAGTTCAAGATAAACAAACAAAAAATATTTTTGTGCTGACATGCCAATTCCTGTGTGTTTTGTGATAATTTTGTATTTAGTTAAGCTTAATTTTTTTCCAATATTGTATCATGAAATTTACAAATGGAGGAAAAGTTGAAACAAGTGTTCAGTGATCAACCTTATGCCCACCACCTAGATTCTACCATTAACATTTCACTATACTTGTTTTATCATATATCTATCCATTCACCCAGCCCTCTATCCATCCTATTTTGTGTGTGTATGTGTGCACTTCAAACAATTAAATTTAATTTTAATGCTGTTTTAAAGAGAGTAATTGTTAGCAAAGACATTTCATTCCATGAAAGAAAATTCTCAAATTGTACTTAGTAGCACTGAGCATACTAGTTAAGAGCAGAGACTGTGAAATCTCAAAGAGCTGGCATGGAGCTCATCTCTGCTACTAACTGACTGTGACTCCAGACAGGTGACTATCCCTCTGAGTCTCATTACTCTCAGGTGACACTTTGGAAGATGATCCTCATGGGGTTGCTATTATGAGAATTCAACATAAGAGATGAAAGATGCTTATACTTTATAGTATTGGACAAATAATGCATTTGTGATGATTTTTTCTACTCTTCTGTAATCCTGCGAGATTAAGGACCCTGTCTATTGCCTTTTGTCATTAACTCTCCAGCCCCTCACGCAGTGCCTTATAAATAGCAGATGCTGAATATGTGCTTATTGATGTGAATTGACATGAATTTCAGAGATTTTCCTGCCTGGGATGCTGTGAGTATTTATTAATGGAAAGAAGCAAGTACAGTCAGCTTCAAAGGGATGAGACAAGAAAGTTAGTTCAGAAAATGAAATGGGAGCAGAAGATGAGACAAGGAAAACCTGGCCTGTAAAGCAAAAGTATTTATATTAAGTTCAGTGATGGAACAGAATCCATCAGTGCCCTGTCCCCTCCCTTGGATCTCACCTTTTCAGGGCACAGCAGCAGACTTCCAGCTGTCTCCCCCCGGCCTCAGAAGGCCCTTGTGCTGGAGCCAGAGCACAGAGAAGGCTGGATGTGCTGGAGAGTTTACACCTTTGGGAAAGACCCTCAACCAAAGACGGATGGGTTGGGGTATAAATGCCCCAGCTCCCTCCCCTGCAGAGTGTGCTTTATACCATTTCCTAGCATTTCCCCTTGGGATTACAATGCAGTCACCAACATACAGCCACAGTTGCCTTGATAAACAGGCCTCTCAACTGGCTGCTTTCTTTCCCTGTCTCACTTCCTCACTCCCTTACGAGTATTCTCTTCATCTCCTAAATAAACTACTTGCCTTAGAATTCTTGTCTCAGGGTCAGCTTCTGGGGGAAACCAAAGTGAGACAAGTATCTTTATGCTTTCATAAACACAGAGCCTCTCTACTTCAAATGGCATCCTACACTAAAGTCTGACATGTGATATTTATAAAATTAGAGCTGCCTGACTCAGAGAGTTTGGGTGGGTGGGTGGGATATGTATCCTTTCTCCCCACCTCCCCAGCACTCTCTGAAGACACCCATATACTCTCTCACAGTTCAGCAGAGCATCACTTGTTAGCTATTAGTGGAGTTGATGAAGGTAAGGCATAGGATATAAAGGAAAGGATAAGATGAATGAATAAAACCAAGCAGGCACAAAGAGGAAAAAAGTTCTTTCAAAGGCATAAAAAGCATAGACATACAGCAAAACCTATTCACAACCACGTGGTGCTGATGCTGCTGGTCCATAGCTCCTCTTAAAGTAGGACTGGTTTAGGCCAGTGGTTTTCAACCCTGGCTGCCCATCAGAATCATATGGGATTTAAAAAAAAAAAAATACTGATGCTTTGTTCTCACTCCTTGACCAACTGAATTGATCTTGGAAGGTGGAGCCTGGCATCTGTATTTTAACTGCCCTAGGCAACTCTGATGTACAATGAGGGTTGAGAACACCAGGCTTACATAAAGGTCTAAAGAGCAAGATGCAACTTGGTCTCTGAAACTGTGTGGGGGCAGAGCCTTGCAGACTTGAGGAATCTGGCCCTTGGTGAATGCCACCCGTGGCTTCAGGGACACCTATACAAGGGCCATCACAGTGGTTAGGGCTGTCCAAAGGCAGGGCTCATCAACCCCACTGCTGTCCACTTAGAACAGCTCTGGTTCCTTCTGCATCATGTCCTGGACTCCTGGCAAGATTTTGCTTAAAGAAAGGTGTCTTTGGCAGAGTGATAGTTTAAAATCACAAATATGGTGATTACTAGGACTTTGGATTATTGATGCCTTTAATTTCCAACAGGAATAGATTTCTAATAGTGCAAGTTACCCTCACTTCAGGTCCAGGTCACCCTAAAACACCCCTCTTGGCAGATCTTTCTGTGTCCACTTCTCCTGACCGCTCTGCTCCCACAAATCATTCCCTATGAGGCTGCCTGGGGGTCTTTCAGCACACATACGGGGTGAACTTCCAGTGGTTCCTTGATGTGTACACAACGAAATTCCCACTCATCATGGTCTCTGGAGGCCCTACGACAGGCCAGCTTCTCTGACTTCAGCTCTTAACACTCTCTTCCTTGCTTGCCTCATTGCAGTCATCCAGACATTTTCCTCCCCAACTATGCCTCACTCTTTCCCACCTGCAGACCTTTGCATATGCAGTGCCCTCTGCTAAGAATGCAGCCTCCCCAGATCTTCCCATGGATGTCTCTTTCTCATCTTTCCAGTCTCCAATCAAACACCAGGGTCTCCAACCAGCATTCCCAGCCACTTGTGTGAACACTTCTGTCCATCTACTCCCTGGTCTGGCCATTTACTCTCTTTCTGAAGAGCTGCTTCTGCTCTTCACAGAATTTCTTATCCTTTGCAATTTTCTTGTTTGTTTATTTACTCATCAAAATATCTGTCTCCCCACTACCATACAAGGTCTATCACAATCGGGGCTTCTGTGCTGTTCATACCAATAGTGATCCAGGCCCAATCTTGGAGTCTGCCATATAACAGATGCTCCTTATTTATGTAATGAATGAATAAATAGTCCAATAGAACTAGCCATTAAGGTCATTTGTTGAACTAACCACCACTGTTCAAATTCTGTGATGACCAAAAAATACCAGCTGGTTTAAATTTGATTCTCCATGTTGGCTTTTCTAGGGGAAGAGGATGTGTTGACCAGGCACATCAGTATTTCTGCCCATTTAACAGTAAATATTTCTTCCTGGAAAAGTTATTGCCCTGACTCATGCAACAATGTTTTCTGGGTCTGGTTAGGATGATTTAGTTCTTTTGATCTGGTTTAGTTTTTAGAGAGCTGACCCCGTGGTGCTCCTGGACTTACACCTTTGAAAACTAGGTTCTAGGGGTGCCTGGGTGGTGCAATCATTTGGGCCATCTGACTCTTGGTTTTGGCTCAGGTTGTGATCTTGGGGTCATGAGATCAAGCCCCACATTGGGCTCTGAGCTCCAGGTGGAGTCTGCTTAAGACTCTCTCTCCCTCTCCCTCTGCCCCTCCCCCTGACTCTCTCCCTCTCTCTTGAATAAATAAACAAATCTTTAAAAATAAAAAAAGGAAAAGAAAACTAGGATCTAAATAAAAAGGCCATGTATCATCACATTACTATACTAGTATAGTATAGTAGAGTATCTGACTGGTTGCCTGGACGTGATCTTAAAAGCAATGAGTCTATTTCTTAACAAATGACATCTTACAAACATAACTTTAGCATTGTTATTTGCCATGTAGCTCTCCAAAGCATGATATTCAGAGGGGTTATTATTGTTTTTTTGTAAATACTTTTTTGTTGTTTGATGGATTTTTGTCATTCTTTTATTGGCAAAACCATCATGACTTCTTATCATAGAGGAATAGAGACTGATTTCAGGTGGCCACCAAGACAGTCAAAGTCAGCTTGCCTTGTGTATGCTCTCCTCTTAATAAAAATATGCCTTTGTTATGTCATTTGTCTTTTGTCTGACTTACCTTGCCAACATCTCTTGGGAAAGGTTGTCTCTGATTCTCTGGAATTAAAATGGGAGATACCACAATGGACCTCTTTTGTCTTGGAACAGGAGAAGTTCTCGCAAATTTAAATATATCCTAAAAGAGAAAAAAACAAAATCAATTGACAAAAATCCCTCACGGAAAGAATGTATCAGTCTGCTCTGAGATATGGTTCCTTTGTTGTGAAAGCATACAGCTGTTTGGACATTGTTAATTTTATTCTATCAAACCTCATTAGCGTTAGCAAGTACATCGTTAGAATCATACTAAAGCTGACATTGTGATTCACAATGACTATCATTAAGCTCTTTAATCCCATCTTCTGAATCATTCTATTCACAATGTCAGTCTTGATTTATACATCCTTCAGTACTTGTATATTCCCGTTCTTAATCTGCCAGGTGAGGAGATTACTCACCTGATCACTAACCCACAGAACCCACTGGATATAAAAGTGACTCTCCTCATGGTCAACTGCAAGGTCCTTATGCTCAAAAATGAATAGGGATGAAGGGGCAATCACAAAGGTCCAAACTATATCAGGCAATATGGGGACTCCTAGTCAATGTTTTCTCGAGGACTATTTGTTATTATTAGTAGGTCAACTGTTGGAATGCACTATCCATGCTGTATATATGTTCCAAACTTCAATTATTGGAACAGCACTGTCAAGATTTCTGCCCTGTCAGTAATTTACCTATTCAATGACATAAATGTGTGCAAAAAAGGAAACTTTGTATCATAATTTAAACGAAGTACCTGTATTGCTTTCCATAAAAAGTAGGAAAACATGAAAATAAACATACCAGAGACCAAATGATGGTATTCAATTTGAGCTAGAAACTCAGGGGAAAAAATAAGGTCCTCTTTTCTTTTATTTTTTTTTAAAGATTTATTTATTTATTTGAGAGAGGTGGGGGAGGGGCAGAGAGTCTCAAGCAGACTCCGTGCTGAGTGCAGAGCCTGATGTGGGGCTCGATCTCACCACCGTGATATCAGGACCTGAGTTGAAACCAAGAATCTGACACTCAACGGACTGTGCCACCCAGGTGCCCCTAAGATATTTTTAACAGGGAGATAAGAAAGGTATAGTGGGGCATTAAAGGGTTGTGAGCACCAAGCTCAGACTTTCCCCTTGATCTGATCAGAGGACTGAAAGAGAATTGAAAGGGGAATATCACTTTCAGTATATAAACCAATCTCAGTCAATGGCTACCTACTAACCGAAATTATGTTATGTACCACCAAACGTAAGCGTCTCAAACTTTGGACAACAGGCTCCTACCAAAATCAGGTGGCAAATGATATTTAAGTACCATCACTGATCCATGCCCCACAAAAGTATGTGTGTGTATGCATGCATGTATGTGTGTGTCTGTATGTATAGTTTTAAAGGAAAATCTATATAAGAAAAGTCAAACAGGAAACCAGATCAACTAAGGCTAAGAAAGCTTCTGTAATTTTTCTCTAGATTTTGGTGGGAGTGTAATCTGATGGTCCTCTTGTGGGAAGCAATCAGGCAATATTTAGTTATCGGGAATCTTACAAAAGTACATATCCCTTCACTTGGCGATATCACTCCTAGGAATACATTCAAATACTAAATTCAAAAGAAGAATAAAACTGAATGCAGGAATGTATTCAGCTAGACATTATTTATTAAGGGTAAAAATGGCAAACAACCTGAATGTTCAAAGGCAAGACAAAGTTGAATTTGGGTCCATCAGCAGGAGACACTCTTAGATAGCAGTAATGCAGCCTTGAAGAGCATGTTCTAATCACGACTACCACATTTGACTGCTTCCACAATCACCACCACACACTACTCTAATAATAACAATTTCTCACGTGTGCCCTGGGCAATGTGCTGGGCACATTACATGTGTTCACTCTCATATTTGCAGTTAACTTCTCAAGTAAATCTTGTCCGTCCTCAACTAATGAGGAACATCAGGTTCAGAGAGGCCATATGACTTGCTCAGTTCACCTAGCTAGTGGAGAGAATACGTAGGAGAAAACGTGTAGGGAAACACAGAACACCATACTAGGCACTTCCAATCTTACATAAACTATAGTAAGCATAAAAGAATAACATTTAACATCTCAATGTATGAGTGCAAATAAAGACTCTTTGGTTTCTGGGAAGACCAAATAATTCTATTCAGGTAAAGACAGAAAACTAGAGTGTTGTATATGTAATAGAGTAAAAATAGCAAGGGTTAAAACAACAACAACAAATCCACCCATCCAACCACCACCAACAATAAAATAACGCAGCCCAGCCAGGCAAAAAACAGCATAGAGAAAGAGAGAATGGCACAGACCATGATCAGACAATGAAAAACCCAGTGGATTATATTCATAGAACACTGATGTACATAACATCTGTGAAGATTCTGTTGGTTTGTGAGGGAAAGGCAAAGGAATAGAAAATATGTAAAATATGTACGACATATGAATCTCACTTACAATAAAAGAAATCTTGAGGTTTAGATGAGAGAATGTCTCAGCAAGCACTCTGAAAAGACTTAAAGTTCTATGCAAATATGAGGGGTTGGTGATTTGGCTCTGTGACATGGAAATGTAGGCTTCAGTTCATGATGACAACAGGTGTAATGTTTCTAAAGTAATGAAAAAGCATACTGTGTCATCAGTAACAAAACTTTCCATTGTTTGTAGTAAAGGGCTTATTGGTGTTTGCAGGTCTGTGGATGGGTGATATTTTTGTCCTCATGGGGACCTAGGGGGTCAGGCTCCCGAGTCTCCATTCCTACAGCTGGTGGCCTCCCCGCTCACCAGTGAGCAAGCCTGCAGTGGCCAGTCCCCATCCCCAGCTCTCACGGCATCCCAGAAGCTTACCAACCAGCACAGCTGTGTCAGCTCTTGGGTTTAAAGTGTCTAAGAAAAGAAGCAGGCAGCTCTGAGTCTCAGAATGGCAAACAGCATGTGTAGAAGAGAGCAGGGTAGAAGGTGCGAATGGCTGATTTTAGAGATGCTTCCATGTGCATCCGAGAGCCCTCCATGGTGAGCGCAGGAAGGAATTCTGGGGGCCGGGACCTCCTGTGTCTCCCAACTTTTTGCCTCACAATGGCAGGGACCTCAATAACTATTTGTCCGTGGCTGTGTTTTCATGTCAGTTGCTCTGCTTTTGTCTTTGGCTGTGATTTATGTGTAAATCTACAACTATGTGTTTGTTGACAAATGTCTACCTTGATACGTGCTTCTGTGTCTTTGATCAGGTCTGTGCTAAAGGGTTTGTGTGCTCTGAAGCCATGTGCTTTCGTGTGATGGGGACCACATAGGAGCCAGAGCATCTAATGTGACTGACAGTCATACACCTTGTGCAGATCTAGACAGGTGTGCCGTGCAGTGTGTTTATGCCCGACTGTGTGTGCTTGTATCTGTCAATCCAGGATGGGAAGCCTCTGAATGCACCAGGCTGGGGGGGGTGGTGGTAACCTCAAGGAAAGAACACAGAAGCCGAGGGAATATAAAGAATCTGACCAACCTAAGAGCTGTTTATAAAAGGAGAAGAGACAACATGTGGGAAAGAATGCAACATCGGGGTAAAGGAGCAGCTTGGCCAGCTCCCCACAGCCCCTGTTTTAGTCAAGGGCACAAACCAAGTGTAACCAACCATTCAGGTCTGGAAGCTGTAACAGAAACCCAGAATAACAGAAGCTTAACAAGATAGAGACTCATCTCTCTCTTATCAGGGATCCAAGCTCCCCCTTCTTGCTCTGCTTTAACAGGAAACTTCCACCTCATGGCCCAAGATGGTGCCCCCGGCTCCTGCCCTCACAGCTACTCTCTAGCCAGTGAGAAGAAAGGGGACGGAGAAGGGTATGCTCCCACATTTAAGGGCATGCCCTGGCAGTTGCACACATCACCTCTGCTTGCATCCCATTGGCCAGAACTTGACCACATGGCTGTACCAGTCTATAAGGGAGTCTGGGAAAGTAGTCACCGTGTGGTCACATGCCCAGCTAAAAATTCAGTTACTGTAGAAGAAGGTCAGAGAAGATACAAGGGGACAGTGGGCCAATTCTGCCTCCCCTGGAATCATCCTGAGCAACCTCCCTGTCCTCATCTCACAGACGTTCTTCTACCCCTCGCTGCATCCTTGACTTTGGTTTTCACCTGTCAGATGTGTTTTGCTTGCTCGCCTGCCCCCTACCATGGCCTGGGATCCAGACACCTGTACCCCTCAGCTGAAATGCTGCTGTGGCCTCCTCCCCTCTCCAGTCTCTCCACCCTCGCCATGGCCACACCTCCCCCCACCCCCCCATTCTAGCCTCCTGATCTGAGTGCAAAAAAAAAAAAAAAAAACAAAGAAAACAGCAGTTCTGGCACAGGCGTTGCATGCTGTAGACTGGTAGACTTGAGGGGCTGTTGGGCATCCAACAGAGATTTCTAGAGGGCACAGAAAGAGTTGTCTTCGGGAGGGAGCAATGACTGAGGGAGAGAGATGTCACAATCACCCAGGTACAAGGGTAGCGGGACAGAAAGGAGAGGCTGACACCAGGCACAGTATGTCAAGAGGGAAAGGGGAGGGGCTCAACCATTCGATGGGTTTCTAAAAGGCCAGTAAAAGCCACGGAAAAGTTAGGTGCCAAAAAGGGGGAAACCAGAAGGATGAAGAGGTAAGAATGTCAAGAAGGAAGGGGTTGCAAGGCCATATCACACAATGCAGACATCCCCTCCAAAAAGCCGAATGCCAGAAGGAGGCTGTTGGACTGGACAACGAATAGGTATTGATTTTAGAAAGAGCAGCTTAACAGTGTGTTAGGGTTGGGTGTCAGAGGAATCAATGAGAAGCGAGGGCTTTGGTGCAGAAGGTAAGGAGAGACACGGAAAGAAGTTTATCATGTCAGTTATTAGAGGGAGGGCCAGGACGTGTGCCGGGCACAGGGAGGAAAGGGCTCGCAGAGGGAAACAGTGGCGTGGGGCGAGCGCAGGGGGCAAGTGATGAGGGTGCGTGCCCATGGGGATGGGATGGGGCTGGATCAGTAGCAGTCAGCCCAAGCAGGGAGGATGGAAACTGCTCTTCTTGAGGACAGAGAAAGGGTGAAGGGGAATTTCTCATCTGTAAGGGG